CGTCTGTTTCACGGTTGACGTTCAAGATCACGTGGCACCATTCACAAGAGTGGGCCGTGTCATGCCAGCCATTTGTCGAAAAACAAATTTGTTTCGGAAAACAAATATGAGCTAAGATCTTCGCTCATTTACCACTTCACATTCCTAATTGCCGTACAAATACTGGAGGAAGGGCCTTTGCTATAGATGTCCCCAGGGTCTGGAATGCTATCGCAAATAAACTCCAGCTTGGATCACTACCTACAAGACCATCACTCAATCACTGCTCTCGAGGAGACGTACAACCCTAGCTGCCACTGCTATCCAGTGGCCTGAAATCAAATATATATCTATAGATGACCAATGCGACAAATTATCATGTATTTTGATTATAGTGTGCTGCTACTACTACTATTGTTACTCCTGCTATTATGGATTGACTCATGCAGCTAGAGAAGGATGCTAGGTTTAGTGATGTGTGTTATGTATGTCGCTATTGTTAACTTTCAATCACATTTCTTATGATCACTGTTACATTGATTTTATAGCATTATTTTAGTAATTTCTAGAAAGGCTTAGTTTAGCCCGATTTTGTTTATGAAGTATAGAGTTAGACTTAACATTTTAATCTAAATTGTATTATGATTGTTATTATGATCTAACATCAAAATGGGATATTATTTTGCACAGTTTAGTACGCAGCATAAACTGGAAGATTTTATTGTTTTTGTAGGGGATGTCTCAATTTGCGTACAGGAAATTTTTAATGTATCTAGTAATGCTATTGTTTGGTAAGCCCACAAGCTAACCCCTTCGTAGCCAAAATGAGTAAAACACAAACGTCGCCGGAGAGTTTCTTTGAAAAGGGGGAAAAACCCCCAATGATGACCTCCCCCCAGCCCCGCTCCGGTCCGTGAAAAAAATTGCCTTCCACGAAACCGGTCCCTGGTGCCAAAAAATAGTTGGGAACCGCTGTCCTAGACCATCGCTTGGGCTCATCCAGCCCAAGCCTGCGCACTCGATGGCTACGCCACTTATCCGAGTCAAGTTGTTTTGTTTTCCCATTGCTCTCTCAGCAGGGTGCCCGTCGCTCAAGTAGTGCATTCACTTATTTATTTCTTTCGTTCGGCGGCCGATGATGATTCCTTCTGGTGTTTCCCCTCCACATTCAGAAACACGCTATTTAGACTATTTTTTACTGCTATGCATGTCCAAGTGATAAGCCACATTGTTGAGCTATAATTTGGGGCAAGGTCGTTTTTGAACAAAAAGTTAATACCTCAGTGGGCTTTGTCTGGTAGGATGGGGATGGTTCAGTTGTATTAGTATGTGTTTGGGTGATTTGTTTAGCTCTCTTGTACTTTGCACGACTATCAAATGTAGTCAGCTTAACACGTAGGCTTTCGCAACCAATATTATTCATAATAAAGGTTTTTGGGTTAGATCGCGTTATTTATAAATGTGTCGTAACCCTCCACCACCCGACACGGCCAAACAGTAAAAAATGTGTCACGTTTACAAAGGACAAATCGTTCACTACTTTAGCCCACCGGTGTGTTGAAGAGTGAATCAACATCATTTAAATTTGAGTACGACGTTTCGCTGGAGGGTTACGACACATTTATAAATAACGCGATCTAACCCAAAAACCTTTATCATGAATATCAAATGTATTGTTTGTTATTACTATCTTCTTACCCGCCCCGATTGGACATGTGTGAAAAAAGGGCTTTGTAGCTTATCGGATTCCTCCAGTATAAATAAATATTCTGATGTAGATGCAGAGCATCGACTACAATTTTACATACTCTTTGGTTCTATTCGGTAAAGTCACATAGGTAAAAAATAAAACAACAAAAATCACGACGTTTCGGCCACAGTTTTGTCCGCTGGACAGTTTGGTCCCTTCACCTGATGAAGGCCACTTGTGTTGTGGCCGAAACGTCGTGACAGTTTGGTCCCTTCACCTGATGAAGGCCACTTGTGTTGTGGCCGAAACGTCGTGATTTTTGTTGCTTTATTTTTTACCTACGTGACTTTACCGAATAGAACCAAACAGTATGGATCCTTGCAGTCACGAAAGCTTCAAATCTAGAATACAATTTTACATTCAGGTGGTCAAGCCAGACAGCCGAGTCAGGAGCAGTGGAGAGTCTCGCTGTGATGTCTCCTTCTTTATATTCGTGGATCGGGGCATTGCGTTCTTGTACGTGGTACGGTCTGTTCTGGATGACCACAGTTGCACACTACTGGAGAGATTTTAATTTAACATGTGTACACCAGGCATCCGCATCTACTGCTGCCATGGTTTGTGCAGTGGATGTGGTTTAGGGCGCACCGTGAGCTGCGTTGGGTATTTTACTCATGGCTAACGAGCTTGTGACTGACTGAACACTGTCTTGTAAACAGAGTTAGGTTAGTCTTAGTCGAATGATCTCATTTAGACTTCTGTAAATTACAATGAAGACCCAAGATAACGGACTAGAACGAAGGCTTAAACGTCTGAAATGACGTACAGATTAACAAAACCCGTTACCCTTCCTAATGCTGCCCTCTGTGGGACAAATTACGAATTCTGGAGCTCACAATTGGCACTTTTTGAGTGCGTAGTATTGTGCGGTGCAGCTCACTGGAATAATAATAAACAGCTGACGCTTCTTCTTTGGTTCTTTCGGTAAAGTCACGTAGAATGAGAATAAAATAATAAATTGATAAAATAAAATAACACAATAAAATTCTCACGACGTTTCGGCCACAAAACAAGCGGCCTTCATCAGGTGAATGGACGAGACTGTCTGGAGGACAGCGCTTGTTGCACGGTACATTCACTTTCGCAGTGAAACTTGATGTTAAATGCGAGCCGGGTGAGGGTAATATGTAGTAACGTCGTCTGAATTCCTTCATCCCCGTTCATGTGAACATCAGCCCAACTTTGTACCCCTTCTTAATTGAGTTAATCTCCGGTAAATCAGATCCATACTCTTTGGTTCTTTCGGTAAAGTCACTTTCGGTAAAATAATAATAATACCTAAGTATGGATTCCTGCAGTCACGAAAGCTTCAAATCAAGATTGAACTCAGATCCATTTCCTTGTTACAATGGCTCTCGTCAGCAGATCTGCGATGAACCATGATTGGTATCGTTTGATTCAGACTGTGTAGGTTTCATGTCAGTTCGAGTAGAGATACGGTAATACCTCAATATACGAAGTAGATGCGTTCCTGGAGCTTCGTTCGTATATTGAAACTTTGTAAATTAAGTAACTTATAACATCAGTAGTTTGAGGATGCGTAATTGCCAACCTTCGTAACTTCAACATTTTATACTGTAAACACTTCGTAACTTACCATTCATATTGCAAACAAAGTGGATTTTTTTGTTGTTGAAAATAATGTTATATTTTATGCTGTACAGTAACGTGACGGAGATAGTACGTCCACCGCGGAGACAGAGTGAGACAATGCGAGGATGGATGATTGCAATCGCGAGACAGGGGCCGTCCATAAATGACGTCACGCACCTGGGGGGGGGGGCAGACATTTGTGACGATGTGTGACGAGGGGGGGGGGGGTTGAGAAATGTGACGTCACATCAAAATGCGCAACTTTAAATAAATATAGACAACACGTTCTACTTAATTAAATAGACTTTTTAATAAATGTTTTCTTCTACAACATCAGAGTGCAGCGGCACATTAAATACGTACTACAATGGCATGTTTTATTTTAAAAATGGAAATATGGTTTGGGGGGGGGGCGGCAGAGCTGTGTGACGTCATATTTGAGGGGGTCTGACTTTTTGTGACGCCGTGTGACGACGTCGGGGAGGGGGGGGGTAAAAAATCGTCCAAAATCTCGTGACGTCATTTATGGACGGCTCCACAATGAAAGGTGGCGGACTGCTTGGCGAGGCCTTCGTTCAGCAGTGGATAGATGTAGGCTGAGGATGATGATGATGATGGGAGTGTTTTGTTTGGGCAAGCTCACCAATTGCCAATAGACATTTCTCACCCGTATTCTTCTGTATATAAGATTCTCAGGAATGCGAGGCGCACCCCACATGCCGGAATATAAGAGGCACTAACTCCCCTCCCCCCTCCCCTCTTAACGTTTTGCAAAACATAGTGAGTCATATAATCCAGAGAATACAGTAACATGTGCAGGGATTCCTCTACTTAGGAACGAGTTAGGTCCCAGAGGTCTGTTCTTAAGTCGATTTGTTCGTAAGTCTAACTTTACTCCGGTCGGTTCCAAAACACGTCGTACCGCATGTACACTAAACACAGGGAATGGATTTAAAAGTTGTATAATCTCCTGCAGATGGCACTGGTTCTTCACGTTCTGCAGATGTAGATGCCACCACCGTCATCTATCGCGCGGGGGGTGAACTGACGACCTTCGGTCCGAACAGGCAACTGGACATACGGACCAGGTTTGTTCGTATCTCTGAAGGTTCGTAAGTCGAATGTTCGTAAGTAGAGGGAGGGGGGTATCATTAATTATCAAAAGCAAACGTATTTTCATATATTGTAATAATTGGGGCGTGGCTCATTGCAAAGTGACCAATGGCACTGCAGCCAACTCGTCGCCTCGCCTCTAACGCGTTCGCTATTGGCCCACTAACTTTCACACCCGCATCGTTCACCCTGGTGCGAACCAATAGGAAGTCACGGGAGGCGTGGCTAAAGCGGGAATGGGCGGGGATTATGATGTAAATACGGCGTATATTATTCTCAGCAGCTCTCCCGCGATATTTCTCACCTGATGACGATTGCTCGTGTTGCGATCGAAACGTCGTGATATTGTTATTATTTTTTATACTTTATTTTTTTTAATGATTTGATCTATCTACGTGGCTTTACTGAAAGACCCAAGAATATAAATTCCTGCAGTCACGAAAGCTTTTTATTTTATTGCTTCCCTTCTACGTGACTTTACCGAAAGAACCAAGAATATAAATATGTATGTTATGTAAATGATAGAGGGCGTGGTAATGAGAAAGGGCGTGGTTATGCAAACAAGAGGGGCGTGGTTACTCAGATGAGGCGGGGGCTCCCTGCAGCCCGCGCAGCACAACTCTGAACCTGGGTCCACTCACAGATGAAGCAGCTCTGCACAGCGCGGTCATGGAGCCGCGTGTCCGGCTGCTCTCTCCGCTCTCTTTGCTGGCCATGGCCGGCTTCTTCTCTACGGTGCACGCTCAGGAAGGTGAGGGGCTCCCCGTTGCTACTCTGCAATGGGTTCGATGATATTTACCGAGACCCGCTCCCGACCCCTTTCACGGTGACCCCTCCTGCCCGGGTGCCTCTGCCTCTCCCCGTTACTACCGCTAGGATAGGCGTAAGGCTTCTCGGTAGACTAGGCCGCATTCCTAACCTCCCTCCACCACCGCCCCGCAACGAACCTCCCCCGGGCTAAGTGAATAATAACTTTAATAATTATTTACAGCACGGTCTCAGTCCACTGCTGGATGAATGCCTCATCGGGTCATATCGGTCATGGATGTTGCTTTACCACGAAGTCGGTTAAGGATGGGGGTTGGTGACGGACGCTGGAGCCACTTATGTGAGCAGTGACCCGGGAATCTCACTCGGGTCGCTGGAGTTCGTAGCGCAGTGCGCCAACCACTGCTCCCACCGCTCTTTAACTTTTGTTAAAGTCTGAACGTTATTCGTTTAACGCGTACGTTAGTTTACATGAAGACCCGCGTGTGTGTGTGTGTTTATAGGTGTGTATGTGGGGAGCGGTGGGGTTGCGGTTAGCGCGCTGCGCTATGAACCCATCGATCAGGGTTCGATTCCCACTCGCCGCCAACACCTGTGACAATTATCTGAACCGGTTCTGGGCCTCCCCTAGGTCGACTCAGCCTCAAACGAGTATCTGGGTGCGATGTGTAAACATCGTCACTGGGGAGACAAAGGCGGTCGGGCGTGGTGCTGGCCACCCACCCCCTCGTGTGCCGTTCTGGCCTTCATAGGTGCTCGCTAACAGCACTTGCCCCAATAGTATGTTAAAGTTATACGGGGGAATCTTTGTCTTTGTATGTTTGTGTGTCCCCGCAAAGGAATGGGGAGCGGTAGTGTAGCTACACGGGGGATCTTTGACGCAACCCCGAAACGTGATTCCCGTGTGGCAATACAGCAATGAAATTCAGGGCACGCACATACCTACCGGATTATAAGACGCAGCCCCAAGTTTTGTTTGGAACCGACGGAGAAAAAAAACAACAATTAATATTCTCGGTCCTTTCGGTAAAGTCACGTCGATAGAAAATAAGTAAATTTAATTAAAAAAAATAATTGAAAATAATTAAAGCAAAAAAAATTAGGGGAAAATGAGAGCTCGCTCTGACCGGGGTATAGCGGTGCTCATTACTGGAGCCGGCGTGCGACGCGAGGAGAGATGCCCAGGCTGGCGAATGTCGCAGCGGGCGATTTTGTGTGGAACGTTCCTCGAAGCCGACCCGGGGTGGTGGTGGGGTGGGCAGGGGTGGGGGGGGGGTGCTAACGGGATGGGGCAAGTGCGGCAAGTCGGGGTTCGTGCCACCCCGTCTGTGTGGGCAGCGTGACGGGTACAATCCCGCTGGTGTGCAGTGGTGGGGAGGTTCTCTCCTGGTTCGCTCCTGCCAGGCGAACACGAACACGAACGTCATTCACGAAATTCAGCGTTTCCGGATGACCCATGCCGCTCATGAACGCAGCGCTTTGCTTGCACCTGTACCCCAACTGTGGTTTTTTTTGTTAGTTCCCGTGTCTCTTGCTGCCACGTTCTTTCCACCTCCGCTTTTCGATTCGCTTGCCCGTTAAATACCCCGTTCGTGGTGCAATATTCCTTCAGGGCAACGCACTTGTTCTCTGCTGTGTTGAGATATTTTCTTTTTTCTTCCGTGCTTTACGCCAGGGAACCGACTAAACGGGATCGGCCGTGTTATTGATCAAGCTAACTCAATGTGTTTGCAGAACCCTCCCAAGAAAAGATAAATAAGTAACGTGAATAAGCGGGGCCTTTTGGTTGTTGGAGCCCGTCATAGTCACATGATGAGATAACAGCGCTGCGTGTGGGTGTTTGGAGATGCCTCGCATTGGTCAACATGCTTGAAAAGGCCCTTCCACACGCGAGCATTGTGGCAACGTGATGCATTGGGCCTCGAGATGATTAAGACCAAAAGGAAAGACGTGTACAACAAGATTGCTAAGCAATGGGAGATATCTGTTAGACTAAAGAGCTTTATTTTAATTTTACCATGTAAGGCCCACTGAGCTGTTTAGTTATTTTTTCAGGAACGACCTGGCCACAAAATGATAGCTCAACGAAGCGACTACGTGGAAATTTATAACAGCCACATACTCTGAACGCATGTTGAGTCTATGTGTGGAGGGAAAAACCGGAGGACCCGAAGAAAAATCCACGTGACTACGGGGAGAACGTTCAAACTCCAAATATACAGGTGTCGGGGTCGGGATCGAACCCACGACCTCCCCGCATACCAGGCGAGGTAGTTAACATCTCGGCCACTGTGTTGGCAGGGACACAACAGCAAAACGCATCAGGGTTGTGTACCTATGGTGGTTATTACAGGTGGACCGTAATGGATGTGATGAAATGGGGGGGGGTGGCAGATGAGAGCAGGTTGGAGTGTTTTTTGGAAAACTGAACTTAATGAAACGGAACATACCAGTGTGTCTCAAAATCAACGGTTACTTGTTGTTATCATTGTTGATTACAATGCTACAACGTCGAGCAGAGACATGGACATTGCTAAAGGCAATGGAACGGAAGCTGTAAGAGTGCGCAAAAGCAGCTCTGAGAAGAGTACATGCTTTGAATTGGAGTTAGAGACCGGAAGGAGAGGAGCATATGGATTCCAGAACATATTGCACAATTAGAGAAACGATGTCCGGTGGCTGACGCTTAAGGACAGAGTTGCAGCCAAAGGAGGAGGAGCATTGCACACGAGAGCCAATGCACACGAGAGAACGGCCAATGCAGAGACTGCACGATGGATTTCCTGCATTGTAGGACCCAGAGAGATGGAGACGCACTCTTTGGTTATTTCGGTAAAGTCACGTAGGTATAAAATACATGAAATCACGACGTTTCGATTGCAACACAAGCAATCATCATCATGTGGGAAAACCACAGCACGAAAATTTAATTTATTTTCTACCTACGTGACTTTACCGAAATAACTAAAGAGTACGGATCCCTGCAGTCACGAGAACTTCAAATCTAGATTAGATGGAGGCGTGTTCTTCAACGTTTTGACTGACGTTGCCTGACATGTTGGCGCTCAGAAAGTTTCTCGCCTCTGAGCTGTACGACTGAGTAGTTCGCTTTAAGGTCCATCCTTCGTACTTTTTCGCCTCCAGTTTTAACTATCGATTGACTTCTGCAAGCAGCACCCACACAACCGGGCCATCGCTGCTTCGCAAGAGTGCGTGTCGCTCGCCGTGTGTTGCGCGTTAGCGTCCACAGGTGCGGTCGCATGTAGACGCTTTATAAATATGTATTCCATTTCATCATCTTCGCTCTGAGCATCCTGTGAAGATGTCACTGGGCTGTAAGTAGTTTGAATTGTTAAAATCAGTGCCAGGTGACATCGCGCGTCAAGCTCTCCGACGGTCAGATGCGATGCCATCACGGTTGAATCGTCAATCACGGTCGAAGTGTTTGTGGTTATCTGTGCGTTTGCAGTTTCATTTCTTCGCCGATTTTAATACATATTTTATTTGGAAGCTCACGTTGCAGTCGTTGAATCGCATGTGAGCTAGCCGGTGTTTTTCCATTGGTATGTGTTGCATATTGCTGAACATAGGCAAGTTGGGAGACATTGTGCGGACTGTTACGCAAGTGGGCTTGAGCAGGACATGTCTCTGCAAGGGTTGCTAGCCGGCGGTCGAGACTAACAAAAGAATGGAATCCGAATGAGGAAACACGCCCGGCGGTAGCATGTCCAGTGCGGAGATGCAGCGATGCAATCGACTTGTGCGCAGATGGTCGATGGATCGTTGCATCGCATTACCGCGCGAAATGGTGACGGCTTGGGGTAGGCCTTCATCCAGCAGTGGATAAAGCATGACGGATGGTACGTTGTACGTATTAAGTTCATTTGACCCGACCACTGCGGCCAATTGAGAGGCCCCCTGCTGTCGCCGAATTGTTGAATAATATTTTATTATAATTGTGGCAGTCGAATCTTGGGAGTGTTGGGGAGAGGGTGAGTCTTTGCACCCTTCTCTCTTATCCCCATTGCACTCTCATGCGCGTGGCTTTTCGCTGCCTTTCTTTTACGGAAACTGTGCCCACCACAATTAATGAGAAACTCGTCGCCCTACGGCAGAGAGTGTGTCGGGGAATGTCCGTGGTGTCATAGCACACTGGATTTGGCATTTTTTGTTTTTGCCAGTTCCACTCCATCTCCCGGCACTGAAGTTGAAACACGTTTCTTAAACCCCCTCCCAATGCCTTTGTCCACTCAGCAGCAGTACAAATGGGTGCACCACAGTCACTCAATTGGCGGTTATAACGCAGAGGTGGGGTGAAGCGTGGATACACCCTCCCGATCCCTCCACCTTGATGTTCCTGCAAACAGGTTTTATGGCCGACGTGGGAGAGTAGGCCAGATGATAATAACCCTGCAGAGTTGGGAGGACCTTCCACCAGCAGTCATGCGAGCAATCAAAAGCGGGGGGGGGGGGGGGGCAAATCGTCCGCACGTTCATCAGGGAAGGCCCGTACATACGAAGCCCCGTGAAGGCACAAGGCGATGGTCGGTAGTAAGCATTAACGGCTATACTCTACTGATGATTCTTAACGCGGGCGAAACCTGCGCGCGGTTGTCTCATTTTTCCTGCTGCCGTTTAAAATAATATTGCCACAATTTTAACCTTTGAGTTTGTGGGCTAAAGCGCCAAAGTCGTCTCATTACACAAGCATGCAAGGCATGATGGGGAGGACTGTTCATGTGGTCACAATTGTGCCTTTCGCTGTCTAGAGGGAAATCAATTCTGTATTGTTCTTATTTTCCAGTCCTGTGCGTACTTTTCTGTCCGAGTTTTTTTCTCATCATTTACAGAGAGTGTTGGAATTCGTTCGGCTAGTTTGGTCACATCCAGCCGAGTGGCTCGGCGATGGAAGCGAGTGGCTCGCGAACGAAAAGTTCCTCTTTTAAAATCCTGCTTCGAGGAGGGGGCGGGGGGGGGCTCAGC